GGTTTGTACACTCAAAAGTTCTATATAGCTATATATATACAAGGTCCGGCTATTAATTTCCAGGACTGACGTAACTGTAGGAGAACGAAAAGCCGGAAGATGGCGCTAATGATTGCATATTGAAGAGTGTTTTCTTGCGCATGTGCAGTGCAATCGGCGCCATTCTGAAGTGAGTGGTTCTCGTGGAAAGGCGCATTAAAACGGAGCTCTTAAATTCCTGTTGTCGAAGTGAAATGGAGCAAAGAATTAACATTAAATTTTGCTTCAAATTGGGCAAGACAGCTGCAGAAACCTACAAATTGTTAAAACAAGTTTACGGCAAGGAAGCATTATCTCGCTCAAGAACTTTTGAATGGTTTAAACGCTTTCGAACGCGAAAGCGTGGAGGATGATCCACACACAGTTCGGCCGCAGTTCGTACGCAAGCCGGAAGCAATTGAAAAAGTTCGCGTCCATATATTGCGTTTGCTGTGAGGCGATTCTCAGCTCAGCATGGTGTCGTTGAGTCGCAGCATCCACCATACCCACCAGACCTAGCACACACTTTTTCCTGTTTCTTAAGCAGAAAAATTCACTGAAGGGAACAAGATTTCAGGATGTCGAAGCCTTCACGAAAACTGTAACGTCACTAATAAAGAGCATTCCAAAAGAGGACTTTAAAACTTCTTTCCGCAATTTGTACAGCCGAGCACAGACGTGCATTACGGCTGATGGGGATTACTTCGAATAATATTAAATGGCTATGTGTTTAACTTTTTTTTCTTATGAGTTATTCCATGAGTCCTGGAAATTAATAGCCAGACCTTGTATATTTACAATGTATGTATGTACATACATTATGTGCATGTAAGTCAAACTCTTTAACCATCGATGATATGTCCTTTCACCGACCGAGATGCAAAACATTGTTGGCTCTCTAACGCCTTATAAAAGGAATTTAAAAATGAAACTCAGACAAGTATAAATATTTATTTGTATGTTAATTTACTCCAGCCTAACATTATTGTTTTATAAGTTCTTATACTTATTTGCTTTAAAAAGAAGTTTATAACAGTTAGGTTATTTAAGTTTATTTTAAAATTTGTTCGAATGTCTACAAAACTTAATTTCTTACAGTTTTTGATAGCACACATACATACGCATTTGAACGTATATTTTTACTTACACACATACGTATGCTTGCATATATTGTGTGTACATGTGTATACTTGTACACTAACATACATTGTGTGTACACTTGTACATACAATGTACATAAGTATGAATATACTATGTAATAACAATGTAAGTATGTAAACAATAAACTCTTTTTACTTATCCATGCGAGGATTTATGTACGGTGCTCGCTCGTAAATATATACGCATAAACGTACAGCGTAGTTAAGTGTTCACGTATGTACAACATATTTAGGTTTTCGTAACTATTTATACAATTATTCGCATTCGAGATTACTTATAATCGTTAGATTATGATTGATAAAAATGACTGTTTGTAATCGTACATATTGATTACATTCATTACTTAAAATAAAAGATTTCGGTCATTTGTAACCATATACCAGCTATCGCTTCTTGCTGTGATTACAGGTAATCATAATCTCTTCATAATCTGAAATCGTTACTTGAAACTTATAAAAATGAATACAAGTAGTTTATCACTAAGTACTTTTTATTTGTAGTTGTCACAATCGTTGTCAATTAGAGTATTTCGTGCCCATTTCTTTTGAGCAGTGAAATTATTCATTTATTCTTGACTAATGAATAAAGAATAATGATTGAAAATAATGAATGATGATTCAGGAAGATTTTGAATAATTTTTCATTATTCTGAGTGAGGAATGCCCATCGCTAATGAAAGCTACTTAAAACATCGTTTAACAAGATTAATACTTATTATTATTGCAAAGTAATTTTAACAAAATATCCTAGACCAGCATAAATATAAGCTTTCTCTCATTTTTGCGATATGTTTTTAGGCACTTCTCTACAATTCTTGTTTTTAATTATGAAAAAACTCATTAAAAAAAAAAAAAAAAAAAAAAAAAAAAAACAGAATTCTGAATGATTTTTAAACTTTCAAAAGGCGTAAAACCACATCTAGGATTAAAATAATAAATCTAATTAAGAAGCAGAGGACTATTACCTGTCCCCGTCGATAGTACATCTTTTGCGTTCTAGCTTGGTTACACTTTTTGTTCGTTTCAGTGGATTGCTTTTGAAAGAGCGCTTCGAAAAGAAGTTCTGAAAAGAAAAAGAGCAATCAAATATTGTATTGTAAGCAACAAAACATATTTAATTAAATAATTTCATAATAGTTTCAAAGAGATATATATGTAAAAACAAAAATTCTATATTTTATTTTGACAAAATAGTTTTCAAGAAAATTCTATTTTTTGGATATTCAAGTACTTTGAGGAAATCATTTACCTTTTCGACTGTAATGACTAAAAAGTTTAGTTTTTACTGGAGAGGGGATTTTTTTTAAACAACTTCAGTAATCATTGTAAAGCTTTTAATTTATTTCTCANTTGCAAAAAAAAATAAAAAAAAAAAAATAATTCAACTTTAATATAAAAACAATTATTTAAAAAATGATAAAAATTAAGACACATGCACATTTTTTTTAAAAATTTAATGATGAAATACTTAACTATAAAAAGTTTGACATAATATATCAGCATTTTTAAAAGTATAAACAGCAACTGGAAGAAATTCTTTTTCATTACTATATTTCCTCAAGTCTGAGAACTTCAGACAATCACCCTGCTCTTATCTAAAGCACCAATTTCCTTTACATACAGGATACAAGATTTGCATAATTCTCCGAATTAAAACCCAATTTTGATATTTACTGTTTAGAAGAGTAATTTTGATTTAAGAGAAGAAAATTGGTTAATCTGTCTATTAATATGTTTACTTACCAGCTACCGTTTTTACTTATTACAGAATATTTCCTTGATAAAAACATTGGATATGATAACAGGGACGACATGATCTAATATTTTTAGTAGGAAATTTTTTCTTCTTCTTAATTTACGTACTTATTTACGCGAAATTAGAGCATTTAACAGTTGAGTTTTTCATTTCACATGATTGGATGAATAATTTTTAACTGATTTTGAGTTAAGAGGGGTCTGTCTAGGTTTTTTTGAGAGGTACCTATTTTGTGACATAATTTGTGTCATATTATATTAAAAAAACACAAAATTATGGTAAAATAAGAGAATATTTTCAAAAATATTTAAATATTTTTCGAAAATATGTTAAGTACCGCTTAACGGTAGTAAATCAGCAAAAGGAAGTTTTTGTTAAATATCAGTATATATATTATTAAAAAATTTTTTTAAAAAAGTCTAGACTTTCATTATGTTCATTATCTTTTTGTTGCTGAAATCATTTCTGGATTCTAAAATTGCCTAATTTGCTGAATATTTTGTAATCATAGGTAAACTCAAGAAAATGCTTAAAAAAATTTTTTAAAAAAAGTCGGCACATAAGAAAATTTTCGAATAGTGAAAAGTTTTTGGGGTGATCACATCGACCTCCTACCCAATACGCACCATTATGTATACCGTCAGTAATATTGCCTCTTTTTAAAGAGCAAAGGGAAGTCAGGCTAAACAAATAAAACACTTATTATTTATCAATATCACATACTCCCTTTGATGAACGGAGCTGAGTGAAAATTCGGATTTCGATAAAATCTTGATTTCGGAACCTTTCGATTCAACTTAAAATGGATTAAATCCTTATGAGTTATGCATTTTTTTTAACAAATACTCGAAGATAATCCTCAAAATATTGGATAAACAAAAAATAGATTACTTGCCTTAACCCGTCCAAAAGTACTATCCGAAACCTTTTTGTAAGTCATTCTTCATTTCCGGCAATATCGCACAAATATTAAACGCCAAGAAAATAAAAATAACACCATAAACAAATACTCCAGGTGTGTTCTGTAGGACTGAGCGAACAGTTGCTGCTACCGGGCCGAAACTTCGAAAAAATTCCAATAGAACACCCAAGAATGTTTCACAGGCGAGCGAATGGCATCCAATCGTCGATAAGAACGATGGAGGGTAGATGCAGGGGGGGATTAAGGGCACATTTCTATGCTGAAAATATGTCTTTTCTTTCTTCACTCAGGTATGAAAAAAGCTGACTCACAAGAAGAAAGAGGTCTATGACAAGGGGCCCGAAATTTTTATCTCGCGCGTGACTGAAATATTTTTGGGAAGATCAAATGACGGATATATTTAAAAGGAAAGGGATTAGAAGAGAAAGTTTTACTAAAAGTTATGGAGGTTCGGCAAAGCTAAATGCTCAATTTGATACGGTTCAAATTGAATAATTCGAGAAACTAAATATTTCCCATTTTGTCTTCCCCATCCTCCCCTATCGGTGGATGAGATAGTTTCGAGTTTCTGCAACGATTATTGAAAATTCAATCTGGATAAAAAAATGTTAATGTTATTTATGCGATCCCCCACCCCCTGCTACCGACACGTTCCAGCAGTTCTTGCAGATAATTACGTCAATTAAGGTAAAATAATAATAGTAAATATAAGTTCATAATACGAATGGATTGTTGGTTTGGAATTTGTTATACTTATGAGGGTATGTTTGTATAAATGTGGAAAAAATTTACCTGTTTACCTAAAAAGTTATTAACACTAGAAAGACTGGTTTGGCCAATTTAGTTCCTCTCGTTTTTTATTGCTCTATAATTCGAAAAATAACTTATTAAAAGTGTAGAGTATATTTGACTTTTCATAATTTATCAAATTTAAGTGCCTGTTCATGTATTAGCCTTATAGAAACGTAAATATAGAACCTTATACCTAGAATGATGAGAGAGACCAAGGTGGCCTCTTAAGGCATGGTACGTAGCGTTTTTAAAAAGTGCTTAAAGGTGCTTCTTATTGATTTTCAGTTTTTAAAAGCACTTAAAGGTGCTTTTCTCATTAGGTGTTTTTAAAAAGTTCTTGATTTTCCCTTTTCGAAGATGAGATTTTCACAACGAATTATGCAAAAGCGTGCTATTCAACGTTTTCCCAATTCATTCAACAACAATCCACCATTTCCGCGTACTGTTGGTCCCATAGAGCAATAATCGCCAAGAGATAAAATATACAGTACATAAAATTCTGTTTAAATTAATGTATCTATAATTACTAATGATTAATTAATTAAAACAAAAAAAAATCAGTACAAGTTTTCGAAATGACCACTTGCAGAATTCAAAATTTAAGTTAATTTTTATTTAATACTTATGGACTGCACTTGATGTTTTTGAATTACAAATCAAGACTGACATCCTACGTCTGTAAGTCAACCAAAAAATCTTACAGTTCTGTAAGCAAACAAAAAAGTTTATTAATTATTAATGCGACCGATCATATTCATATTATTATACCACGACGAAACTGTCAGTCTTACTCAAGAACCAGTGACTAATAGTCCTTTGAATAACAAGCTCTTTAAAAAAATTGCAAGGGAAAAATTTGCTGGCGTCATTCTCAATATTGTCTTTCAGTTTTTATGTTAATGAATAAAAAAAAAATCTGATTGGAATTGGAGAGAAGAATCATCAAACGAATCAGTGATTCACAGCAAACCGTGACTAACGATATTTACGTTCTCCAGGGAAAAGGAGACAACATCTTTTGAGATTCACTCAAGCGCTTTGATAGATATTATATTCCGAGAATTTCCTGCCAACATATGTATATATATTCCACAATTATTTCTTGATATTTTTAGAAATGTGCAACAATCAATTTAGAGTCAGTCATAGACGAGATCAGTTGGGACTCATTTTTGAAGATCCAGGACTTATAATCCTGGTATGCCAAAGATTATTTAATGTATGTCAAGAAAAAAGACTAACAACGTCATAATTTGACATTTGGAGACATATATCGGTGTACGAGTCGAAAATTTATCGGTGTATAAATCGGTAATAAATCGGACATAGATTGAACGTGAAATATCGATGCATTATCTGGGGTGTGTTCAGAAGAAATTTGGGTCCGTTAACGGAACCTTCACAAAATAAGTTATCTTTTAATCGGACCCTTCACAAAATAAGTTATCTTTTAATCGGACCCTTCACAAATTTGTTTATCTTCATTATTGTTTTGTTAATCGAATAAACCCTTCCCTGGAAGGGTGGGGGAGGGAGAGACAGATGTAAACGAACTAAATTTTGTCTTCGGCAGACGCTTCTTCGTCCGAAATGAATATTCTGCTTTCAGCAGTAAAGGCAAAATACCAAATATTTATATGTTGCATCGCTAATTTAGTAGCTGCAATTGCTGTTCATTCTTTAAAATTTAATTTTTTTAATTATAATTTTACAGTGTTGAGCACAATCTTGTATGTCCTTACAATTTAAATACTCCTTGAAAAAGTATTTTTGCAATAACGGACCCTATTTGCACAAATTCACGAAAGCGGACCCTGGTTGAAAGAATGTGACTTAATGTTTATTTTATATTNGGTTAGAATACTAATTACTCCTTTTAGGAAGGAGAAAACTACCAAAAGCAATGCGATGGCAGCGCCATCTCTGAATTAACACAAATAATAGTCAAAATGATAAATTCTGGTATCACAAATATGTTTTGTGCACTACGATTACTATTGCTTAAAATCAAATCCTAATTAGATAACACAATTCATAATACATTTTTAATTTCCAACTAACTTTAATCAATCACCAAACTTTATTTAATATTCTAAACAACTTTTCACGTTATGTTTTGATAAATTTTGAGCACTAATCAGGAATACGATAAGCGGAATTATGTTTCAATTAGCACTAAAGTAAAGGTATCGTTTATTTATTATTAATCCACAAATTCGTTTCACACGGCGATGATTTCTCAATAGGGACACGCTTTTCCTTATGTGTTACCGTGGCAACCAACTTCAACACAAATGAATGAATCAGCCGCATCGTGCGAATACAAATATAATTTTACGAAAATCTATTAAATCGAATACCAGCTAGTAAATGGTTCGTAGAAGAATACTAGCTGTACCTATCGCGACCTTACACCTTATAATAATGGATGGAAACAAAGATAATGTGAGTATTCGAGAGATCGTGAGCATAATGAGAGGTAACGCTTACGTTATTTAGGGACAAGCAGGGATGAAATTTATTGAATAAAAAGTTTATGAAAGCTTACTTACTGCAATAATATAACCCTTTTAATATTAATAGAATACAATTC